AGAACTCCATATATGTATGTATGTGTATATATATGTATATATATATGTGTATATATATATATATATATAGAGAGAGAGAGAGAGAGAGAGAGAGACACTCCTGTTGTAGCACTGTAGCATCAGAACTGGACTGCGAGCCACAGGGTTAGCAGTTCAAACCTACCAGCCATTCCTCAGAAATATATTGACAACAGTATATTTATAGAATTTAACATATTTGTATATGTTGTCAACTGCCATCGAGTCAGTTTCAATCCATAGCAACCCTGCCCTGTATAGGGTTTCTATGGAGTGGCTGATGAGTAGGCCAGCCCATTAACCCACAGCACCATACCAGGACTCCTATGTGTGTGTGTTTTATTAAAATGATGTGTTTTCATCAAATGTGATAATGATGAATTGCTGTGAGAACAAAAATAGAAATAAATGAAATCTCTATAAACATTTGACTTGCTTTGATGTCAGGCTTCATGAAGTCAGGTCTAGATGGCTGAAGTATTTGCTAATGTGGTAGCCACTAGCAACACGTGTGGCTGTTGAATACTTGAAATGTGGTTTGTTTGAATTAAGATGTCCTGGATTTTAAACGTATAGTACAATAAGAAGGATGTAAAATGTCTAACATTTTCAATATTGATTATATGTTGAAATTATAATATTTGCATCAATTAGGATAGATTAGATGTGGTGTTAAAATGAGCTACATCTGTTTCTATTTATGCTTTTAATGTTGCCACTAGAAAATTTTAAATGAAATATGTGTCTTGTATTTCTGTTGGATGGCACTGCCTTAATTCACCATTATCAGTAAAACAAAAATGTGTGGTGATTTACGTCTTCAGCTCGCCGCTGTTGGAAAGCTCTGTGCACTCCGCCTATCGCCCTTCGGGGTTCTTCCCTTGTGTGCCATCAAGTCGATTCCACTTCACAGTGATCCTATATGGCACAGTAGAACTGCTCATAGGATATGATAGCCTGTAATCTTTACAAGAGCAGTTTGCCAGGTTTTTTCTCCCACTGCATGCCAAGCAGCTCATGGATTTGCATCATCAACCTTTTGGTTAGCATCCAAGTGCTTAAAACACTGTGCCCTCAGAGCTCCTACAACTTATTCTGCTGCTGTGCGCGTCGAATCGGTTCCGACTCATAGCAATCCTCGTTGGGGTTTTTGAGGAGCAGCTGGTGGATTTGAACCTTGTGGTTAGCAGTCGAGTACAGCGCTACACCAGGACTCTAGATGCCCAGTTTTTAACATGGTTCCATAGAGGGAGCTAGAGGACAGTGCCTAGTAGAAGAGGCTGAAGGCCAAGACAAAAACTGGAACTAGGGCGATTTCCACTGTCTTGGAGGGGTTTGGACAAAAATACTACCATTTATAGTTAGTCTGGTCTCAGACTTTCAGCACTCCCTGAAGTAGATGAGAGAATGCAGGAAGTTTAAATATGCAGGCAAAAAGCTCTGTTGCATCAGGAGCCAGAAAACACATCACTAGTCTTAAACTGCAAGGATAAATTCTCAACATTATAGCAGTTACAGGGGATTAAGAGCACACTGCACGACCTTTTCAGACATGATTTACTTACGGAATGTTTCTTAAATTCTATTTCAGATTCATTCCACTGCTTAAAACCGGACAACCTTGGACCACACAGCGTCTTACTGGTAAGTTTGTGTTCATTTTTAAAAACACACTGTTTGACATGATTTTGAAATGATATTCACAGTTCTAAGTTAGATGTACCCCTTCCAGTATTAAGACTAAATAGCTACTTTTTTTTTTTCTCCAAAATGATTTATGATGTTTCCATGCCTTAAAAAAATAAAGCAGTCCATGGAATTTTGCTAAGAACATGGGCAGGAAAAAGATCCATGATTATAAGCCAAATACTGTTAAAATAAAAACTGTTTTTTTTTTTGTAATGAAACTATTTCCAGGCCCCTGTTGATAGTCTGCTTGTTTCAGGCAGTATCCAAAACAAACAAAATACTGTTTCAGCCAAAGAATTCAGACAGTCCTTTGCACTGTGTTGTAATGAAAATTGTCAAGAGCTACAAATATTACAGAGCCCTGGAGTGCCATTGTGGGATAAAGCATTGGACCGCAAGGTCGGTTTGAATCACAAGGTCGGTGGTTCAAATTCAGTAGCTGCCCCTTGGAACCCCTATACAGGGTCACTATGAGTCAGAACTGTTTTTCGACGTTAAGTCAAACCGTTAAGTCAACGGCACTTAGCAACAACAAATTAGGGTGCATGGTGCTGTGGGTTAATGCTGAACCAAAAAGTAAGCAGCGTAAGTAACCACCCTTACTTTCAGCTCTATTTCTTGTCTTATCCCTCATCTAATCTGTGATTGTTATGAGAGAACAGTGAGGTAGCTATAGAAACCTTCCTTTTGAGCCAGGAAAGTAATGTACTTTTTAAGTGAAAAAGCTTCTGGGGTTTCGCATGGCATTGTTCCCTGATGTTATGGTGATACTGTTATTTGCATTGTGTGCCAGTTAGCTTTTACTGCACAATAAAACTATCCCAAGTCAGAGTGGCTCAAAATAACAATTTCTGTTAACTCATAATTTGAGGCTGGATGATTCTTTTGCTTTCAGTTGGGGCCTATTATGAATTAAATTGTGTGCCCCAAAGCTATGTGTTGTGGTTGCTGTCCTCTATGTCTGTGGTATCCTCGACTGCTAACCACAGGGTCAGTGGTTCAAACCCACCAGTCACTCCTAGGAAACCCCATACAGGTTGCTACGAGTTGGAATGGGTTTTATGGCACTTGACAACATCAGGTCTGTGGTTACAATCCCATTTGGGAATGGATTGCGTTTGATATGTCAGTGGGATGGGATTAATGAACCTTTTAAAATATAAAAGAGATTAAACACAAGTTGCAGTGGAGAATGGGGTAAGGTAGATGCCAAGACACATGCAGATCTCTAAGAAACCAGGAGGCAGAAGCTGAAGAGACAAAATTCAGGTTTCTAACCCCCTGTTGTTAAAAACGTAGGTCCCAACTCATAATGACCTTGTATAGGGTTTCCGATGAGCAGCTGATGGATTTGAACTGCTGACCTATGGTCTGTAGTTCAGTACTGATCCTAAAGCACTACACTAGGAGTCCTCTAACCTTCTAAACTTGGAGAAAATAAATTTATGTTAGTAAAGCCCTCCACTTGTGGTATTTGTGTTGTAGCAATGCTAGATAACTAAGATAGGACCATTCATTGTCTGCCTTCAACTATAGGCTTGTTTCTGGGGGTCATGTGGCTGTCAGCTGAGGTTGAGCCATGTGTTTCATCTTCCAGACCTCCCAGGGACTTGACCTCATGGTGAGTGGACAGGGTACCAAGAGAGAGCCGATGCACCTTGAGATCCAAGCTCAGAACTGGCCCAACCTCACTTCCACCACATCTGTTGGGGAAAGCAGCCTAGATTCACACAGTAGAATTAGAGATTCCATCTAATGATGAGAAGAACTGCAGTACTACATTGTACAGGGCATAGATAGATAAAGGGAGGGAAAGATTTGTGGCCATTTTTTCAGTCCAAACATAACAATTGTGAGGGTGACACAGGACCAGCAATGTTTTCTCGTGTTGTGCATGGGTTACCATGAGTTGGAACCAACTCAATGGCACCTAACCACCACCATGAACAGTCTATGAGTCCCATGGAAGCAGCTGTGATCAAGTGAAGAGATCGCATATAGGGAGTAGACTTGCCCGGTTTAGACTTCCGTCTCATAGCCTCTTTTTCTCCCAGTTCTAAGTGACAGAATCCTAGTCCTGGTCCTCATCCTCTGGTAACTCAGTCATTTCAGCAGGTGATCTTGCCAGCACCAGGTTTTCCACACTCCATCCTTCATTCTACAGAGCACCAGTCATCCTTTAGTGCATCTTGTAGGTAGGACGTTCCTCCTCTACTCAAAAGCTGCCTGTCCCTCAGTACCACCAGCCTAGACTCCTCTCTGGCTTTTGCACTCACAGCATGGCCCTGTTCTTTTGCTTACTTCCTGCTATCCCCTAGTCTATTCACCATCTCATGCTGTTCACCCCTTGTCTTCTGGAAAATCCCTCCCATCCTGCAAAATCAGTGGCATCTCTTCTCTGTAATGAGGCCTTCCCTGCTTACCCCTACCCCTGTCCTCTGATCTCTCCTGCTCTGCACTCCTCCTGCAAAGGCAAACAGTGTCTTCCCGGGTTCACTGTTCTTTCACATTGACTAGTATTCTTTCTTGGTTTGCCTTGTCATTGTAAACGCTGTGAGAGCAGAGACTACGCATGCGTGCCATATAGTACTCAATCAACACAGGGCTGAGAGTGCAGCAATGACTTAGTCAACCAGGAGACCACATAGATGCTGCACGTTCCCACCCACCAACACCTCATCAGAATCACCCACACCTGTTAAAATACAAACTCATGGTCCTTTCTACTGGACAGTCCACATTCATCAGGATTGGATGGGTCCCAAGAATCTAAAGGCACTCAGAAGATTCAGATGTGATTGCTATGCAGTTGGCAATCATTTGTTATGGAAAGAACAAGAGATTTGTAAGAGACCTGAGTTGAGCCCTGGCTCTGCTACTTCCTGGCTCTGTGACTTCACAAACTCAACCTTTTTAAGCTTCATTTTCCTCATCTGTAAAATGGGAATGATGATGAGCTCAGAAATTCTTGCCAGATCAAAAAGGATAATGTATGTGAAAGGGCTTTATAAAATACAAGCTAGGGTCATTCATGGTAAAAATAGTAACTACCCACTTGGGGGGTGGGGGTGATCATGATGGAGATGAAATGGTGGTAGTGACGTCATTGTTATTAAGTGCCGTCTAGTTGGTTCCGACTCATAGTGACACTGGGTAGGCTTTCTGAGGAAACAACTGGTAGGTTTGAATCACTGACCTTGTGGTTAGCAGTTCAGTGCTTATCCTACAGTGCCAGTATTAATAATGGCAAGATAGTAATAGCATCCGTTGTGGATTGTAGGAGTCCCTGAGTGACACAATAGGTTAAGTGCTGCACTAGTAACTAAAAGGTTGGCTGTTTGAACTTACCCACAGACACCTTAGGAGAAAGACTTGGGGACCTTCTGAAAGGTCACACCCTTGCAGACCCTAGGGAGTGCAGTTTTATTCCGCACACATGGAGTTTCCAAGAGTCAGAATTGATCAAAATTGACTCGGCAGAGCTGACAACTGTTTATGGAGTGCTGACTGTGAGCCAGCTTAGTTCACTACATTTAATTATTTGAGATTTATAATAAATCAGAATCCTGTATTCAGTTGCATCAGTGCCATTATTATAGCCTTCACATTCTACCATTAGTGAATTACTTTGGTTTTTTTCCTTTTCAAAACCTCTCCCTGAGAAAGGAAATACATGAAACTGTTTTCAACCACTGACAACTTAGAGTTATGTACACGGTTCTGTAGAAGTGTGAGGCAGTTTGATGTGGTGGGAAGACTTGGGAAAAGCAGAGTAACCAAGAGTACCAAAGAAAGAAAGGTGTGGACGATGGACAGGGAGGGACCAGAGGAGCACAGCTGCCCAAAGAAGAACGTGTGTGTGGGAGGTCAGCAGGAGGACAAGAAGGGGAGAGGTAGTTGCTAACTGGACAGTTTTCCTGGTCTAAGGAGGAAAAACGGAATTAAAAGATTATGGATTTTGCCCACCAACCTTTTGAAGGTGTTAACCTTCTAAACCAGTTCACTTGGCATCTCCCCATGATGGTTCCCACAGTGGGCAGCACTTATGAACTTGATCTTCACTTCGCATCTAATTTGCCTTACATTTTATTTTTATTGCTGTTGATCTAGTATAAGAGGGGGCTTCAAAAAGTTCATGAAAAATGGAATTAAAAGATTATGGACTTTTCCCACCAACCTTTTGAAGTCCCTTCCCCCCATTCCCATCATGGAGTCCTGGGGTGGTGCTGTAGGATAGGCACTGGACTGCTAACTGTAAGGCCTATGGTTCAAACCTACCAGTCATTCCTTGGAAACCCTATACAGGGTCACTGTGAGTCCGAAACGACTTGGTAGTACTTAACAACACCAGCCTCCCTCATATATGCCTGTCCTCTTTCAAAGAGTTTTGAGGTGGTTTAAAAATATACATGCAATGTAATGAGATTCAGAATAGTAAGTATAAGTAAGAAAGAGAATTTGTTGAAAAGTAAAAGGAAGGTGAAGTCAGGCCCCAAGTGCATGCTTGAGAGCACCTGTTCACGGTGTAGTCAGCACAAGCAGGAAAGAACCCTCGGTTAACAATTGACAGAGGCCAGAGAGGAGAAGCCTGCCAGTTACCCAGAAGAAACCAGGTGAATCATAGTCCAGACTTCAACAGACTTCTCCTGAGGGCCCATACATAAGGTGGCAACCAGCATGCCTGTAATAAATAGAATAAGGACTGTTGTCAGTGTGGGTGAATGATGTAATTCCTTGGTGCAGTCCAAGAAAAGCCCTTCCATCCCAGGTATGCATTCTCTTTTAGCCTTGCTTAAATCAGGAAAAAATGTAATGGTACTTCCATTGGAGTGGCAAATGTATTATATTCATGCTGCCCTCTCCGCCCCAACCTCATGATGGACTTCTCAGGGTATCTTGGCTGTCTTGATGCTCAGCTTTGGCAATTGATTGTGGACCAGATTTGGCACAGATAC